GGATGAATCTCGTTGTACTGCAGCCGTTTGGCTTTTATACGATATTTATGTTGACGCAGTTCTCGGGACTTTTTCCCTCGTTTTGGGTGAAAACGTGCTGAGCTTTCGTCCATCATTAGACGGACATCATCAGAGCTGGGTCTCATTCTTGTAAAAGGTTGTGGTTCAACATTGAACTTAACCAAATCAAGCATTCGTCCGTCATATGACGAACATCATCAGAGCAAGGTATCATCCTTACAACTAAATTCAAGCTAAGGAGTCTTTTTATAGTCTGACTTTGTTTACGCAACTAGGTCATATTGGCAAGAAGACTTAGACGAACTCACTTAGTCCGGAGTCCATTGTCTGCATGATCATTTTCAGGTCGGACCGTGGACGTGGTATATTCCCAGATGTTTCGCTGGCATCTATAGTGAGTTTTGCTATACTTAGCACCAAACTACAACTCGTCAAAGTAACAAGTTTAACAGACAATTTTTTAAAGGATCGCCTTTACTTGTCTCTTTTGCGAGTTGTAGTTTGGAGCTAGGAATTGCAAGACTCACTAACGATGCCGGCGAAACGTCTGGGAATGTACTACGTCCACGGTCCTACTCTGGAAATGATCATCGACACAATGGACTCAGGACTATGTGCGTTCCTCAAAGTCTTCCTGACAATATGACAAAGTTGCAAAAACAAGATCAAACAACCTATATACAACGAAAGGGTGCTGAGAACACACAAAAGACCACACCGTCTTGGTCTCCATACCTTTTAACCTTAGTTTTGTAAATATGATTGGAAATAAAGTTAAGAAAAGAAAGGACCTATTCTTTTCCATTTCTATCGTCGGCCTAAGGTTTCCCTTACATTGGTTAAGTGATGTATTAAACTATCTAGGCTTTCCTTATCATGAGGCCGGATGTCAAACTAGTCATCCATATATCTAATTCACAATTTGGAGGTTGGTATTGCTTCTCCCAGAAAGTGTTCCTCTAGTTTTATGATATAATTATTCGCCAAGATAAAAGCTAAGCAAGATTCCATTGCAATTCCTTGTGCTTTTTTCCATAACCTAGCATCAAATGAAAAATAGCTGATTCTCATGAATAACTGAAGAAGTCTAAGGATGGAGACTATACTCAACTTCATTCCTTGTATGATCTTTGGAGGCTCCTACAGAGTTTGTACTGGAGCCTGAACAGGAATATTTGTGCGCATAGACACAACAACAAAACTTTATAGAAGTAGTTTGACTTTGTTTTCGCAACTTGTTCATATTGGTAGGAAGACTTAGAGAAACGCACCTGGTCCGGAGTCCATAGTATGCATGCTAATTTCAAGAGTCTGAACGTGGACGTAGTACATTCCCATACGTTTCGCCGGCATCGTAGTTGCTTGTTGGTTGGCACACACGTCCCACGTCTATGGTCCGACTTTGGAAATAATTATGCATATAATGGACTTCAGACAAGGTGCGTTCCTCTGAGTCTTCCTACCATCATGACCAAGTTGCGGAAACAAGGTCAAACTACTTCTATACAACGAAAGGAGACTGCGACCACACAAAAGGCTACACCATCTGTGTCTTCATATCTTCGAATAAAACTTTATAATCGATCTTTCTATGAAATAATCTGCTGATGACCTAATTTTACAGAATTTCCAACTGAATATATCCCAACTCATCAGTCTTTCGTAGTTGTATGCAAAAAATGTGAAATTGTATGCGCCACGCCTTCTTTATAATGAACGATTTAACTAAGAGGGACACCGTCCTTATGAATCTTGAGGAGACCGTAAGTCGTGCGGCCCCTTGCATCTCCCGGGAGTAGTGGATTCCTTTTTCACCTTTCTATATCCCCAATACTTACGCATACCTTAAGGATGTTCTTCAGCTTTGTTTTAAGTCTCTCAGTAGAATCTCTCAATTTAGGCCTGTAGGTTTCATTATCATGCAAATGATCTAGCGTTTTTCTACATGGCTTGACTTATCCATGACTCTCTCTGCAACATCCTTGTCGGCTTTAATAACGATTAGATTAATGCCACATAAACATCTAGAAACCTTATTGAGAACATAATAATGCTTTGGCGTGATTATCTAGTCAACATGAAGTAGTCACTGTCATTCTGGACATATTGGAGCGAGGGATAATTATAGGGATGATGGTAGTGGTGATGATGATGATGATGATGATGATGACGACGACGATGGTAGTGGTTGTGGTAGTTAGGGTGGTGATAATAATGATGATGCCTGTAGTGGTGGCGATGCTAATGATGATGATAATGTTGGTGATGGTGATGATGATGATAATTATAGAGATAATGATGGTGGTGGTGGCGGTGTGATGATGATAATGACAATGGTATTGGTTGTGGTAGAGGGGGTGGTGATAATAAGAATGATGTCGGTATTGGTGCGATGATGGTGATAATGATGACAACGATGATGGTGATTGCGGTAGTGGTGGTGATGATGATTATATTGGTGATGCTTATGATAGTGATGATGCTGATGCTGATAATGATGATACTGATGAAGATGAGGAGGAAGAGGAGGATGCGTTTGATGTTTATGAGGAAGATGAGGATGCGGATGGGGATGAGGATAATTATGCTTACTATCACTTCCCGCTCACTCCCTCTCCCTAAACCTATCCAACAGCCACAAATAGTTCCTATTCATTTTCTACACTCGTTCCTCCCATTCAGAACGTTGGCAGTTTTGTTAATTTCTATCTCATTCCTCATCTTACGCTTTAATGTCAAGTCCCCGTAATTCGCAAAACGTTGTGCTTTGAAACAGTCTATTGAGTGTCCTGTATTGCCAAAATGTGTCCGGCGAACTCAGATCTTTGGATCCACAGACCTTTACAAGCGGTTTTCTGTTCGCATCGTCTCTTGCCAATAGGTCGGCAGGTCTGCCCTACATTTACCTTACCACATGAGCACAAAACCCTGTAGTAGCCTGATCTAGAAAGAGTATCCAAAGATTTTCTAAATGATGCAACTACTGAAATACGCGTCACTTTCTCTTTATACATGGTTTTAATGTTCCACTTCCTCAGTAGATCACCCAACATTTTCGCAAGCTGACAGAAAGGCAAAAGCTGTACACGAGTAGAATTTTCTATTTAGACCCAGCTACCAAACTCCCCTCATCAAGTTAACAACAATTGCTTTGTAATTAACTGTTTTGAAACAGTATACGCCTTTATCTACCGATCCCCTGGTCGGTGAGGTCTATGTCTATTAGACGCAGACTCCTTATTATCGTTGGCTTCATAACTCCTATTTTTAGAGCGACCTTCATTTCGTTTGAAAGTGCATGAAGAAGAGATTTTATGTATGGTTCGAGAAGAAATTAATAAGGAAACCTGCGTGTGTTAGCTTCCCATACACGTCTCTGCTCAACTTATTAACTTCTTTGCTTACTAATGCATCTTAATAAATAAGTGCCATTCGGAAACAGATAATGAAATACTTTTCTCTAGAGGTTACAGGAGATCTAAGAGAGGTTAAGTTTAAATCCAGAAAGAATCTAGGAAGGATTTTTCCTTCGGAGAGTCTCCAAAAACTTCAGAATACGACTGACCATAAGTCACAAAGGGTCCGAGATTTGATAAATAAGTGGCATGGCAAGAAATTGCTTGGATTTGGGATAAAAAAGTCAGCACAGGACCCAGCTAACCCGACCAAAGTATGATGCTTCTGTATTGACGGCAGTCACTTTTACAAGCGACGATGGAGAGAGGGTAGTGGCTGAACTTATCCAAATTCCCTCTTAATTGTGAAACTAAGGATCTACTGAAAAAAAAGGTTAAATATCTTCCTACGTAAAAAGGGAAATATTTTAAACGATATTCTTGTAAAGGTTGTTAATATCTCGGATGAATATCCGGAAGAGACAAAGCTGGAGATGGAAATGTAAATAATCCCATGAATCCTAGAACAGCAAGAGTTTTGAGTCGAAGGGTTGAACAAAGTTACTCGGATTTGCCTTAGTAACAGGTACCACAGAGAAACCATATAAGGAAATATAGGGGCGATAAAGGGCAAATTTCAACTTGGATTTCATGTAAATAAGATTAAGAATCGGGAGGACGACCAAAGGTGGATATGACTGTCTCCTTCTAAACTGGATAAAGCATTGCGACCCTTACTAATTAACTGGAATGGACAGTAATAAGAAGGAAAAAGACGACGCTGTTCATCAGACTGCTGAAGCAACAAGAGACAATTAATAAACTGGACTGCTGGGGGGTTAGCCTCATCCAATGTGGCAACTGTGGGCAGAAGTGTGCTGATAAAAACATGAAGAAAATCAGCCTACGGATCAAGGAACATCAAAGACTGCAGGAAGATGGATGCAGAAAGATCAAAAATAGGGGGACACATCGCATGAACGGGACGATAGCTCGACTGGAAGTATACAGAAAGATGGGGTGCATAAGATGAAAGTGCAAGAAAAGGCAAGATCTGAAGGATCCTTGATAACATGACCGAAATGAATGAGAGAAATGGAATATTTAAAGAGGGCGGGATCCTACAGGGCCAGAGGGCGACTCTGATGGGGTCTGGAGGAAGAGGATTGCGGACAAACAGGACAGACTTCGTTCAACACTCCCAGCATAATGTGCTGGGGCTGGGATGAATGAACCAGCGGGGAGTGTGAATGGGTCTCACTGAAAAGGCTCAAAGGTGCACACCAAAAGCAGGTCTAAATAGGCGAGCAGAAATGATGATGGTGAAGGTGTGATACGAAGATGTGGGATAAATAAATGCACCAGGACAGAAGGAGAGACGCCACAGCTGTTCAGCAGGCAGTTGGTCAAAGGATCGACTTCATTTGTCTCTTTGACGAGTTGTAGTGTGCCGATAACGATGGCAGGGATTAGTGACGATGCCAGATAAGCATCTGGGAATGTACCCAATCTACCGTCCGGTGTTGGGAATTATCATGCATGCTATGAAAAAGGACTCCGGACAAGGTGTATTCTTCTCGGTCCCCTCGGCAAGATCAAGCAACTTTTAAATAAGTATGCTTCATAATGTCAAGACTCTTCACATAAAATAATAATGTAATCGAATGATTGCTTTCAAATAAAATTTTATTTGTTTTGTCAACATGCATAATGATCACTGGACGGAAGAAGGGTAAAGGGTTAATGTGATATGATATATATATCGAAAAATATATTTTTAATGAATCTAAATACAATTCCGCCAAAATATAATTTCGGACTTTTATGTTTATGGTGGAAAAAAAGTAGAAATAAACGAATGGAAAATAATTAGGAATAATGTGCTATAAAATGGAACTTACGGAAACCTTTTCCACTTACTCTTCCACTCATAATAGCCAGATTTCTTAGATTGAAATACCGGACAATTTAAAAAATTTTAAATCTGTATTAAATTCTTGTTAGATTACATTTAAACGGCGAACTAGTTAAATTATCGAATGCAAAATATATATTATGTGGAGTGGAAAAAATAAATGGCTTTTCAAAAATGAATATTGAGCCAAATCTTTCCCATTGAAGACTCATTTGTGCATATGCAACCTCAACTTTATAATTCTGTAGAAAATTTTATAAAAGTCGTAATCCCGCAATTGGCTTCACT